TTTTATTAATATTCTCAACAATGAATGATATACGGGTGGTAAAATGTCAAGTTATTCCAACAACATGATCATGTTTTGCAATTTACAACCTATATTTTGTATGTAACTTTGTTTGACAGAGCCCCAAGAGCTCTAACTACAAATATCAAAAATGTGAGGCCAAAATAGTCACACTACAACATTGTCAAATGTGCTGTATTTACGATAGATACCAGGTTTACCAAAAAGAATTACATGAAAAATGGTAAAATAAAGATCAATTCAGCAATATCTACTTGGTGATATGCATCTGTTGATGATTTTATGTGTTTGTTTCGGAAGTTTAATAACAGAATTAATTGTGGTTGTTGGGGATGTTTTAAAAAAAGGTTGCATGGAAAAAAGTTTTCACAAAATGTCAAGGTTTGATAGTAGTAGAGAAGTAGAAAAAATACTTCCATGTTTTTTTTTTCATTTGATAACCACGACACAGAACTTCCCCGATAAGTATACGCAGCAATTGCGAGAGGCAGAAATGCCAAGATGGGATTTCATCGCATTGCAAACCAATATTAGCAATTCTTATATATATTCGCGCATTCCCATCTGAACAGCGTGGAAAAGAATATACCCAACTACACACTTTAAGAACTATGTCAGATGAGCGTCATATTATCGAATATCAGTAAAGGAATATAATGCGGAACTTTCAGTAGTATGCAATCAAATAATCTTATTGTAGAATATATATTTAAAAACATTTCGTCACGCCAACTGCAGTCCGAAACTTTTTGTCTCTGGCTGAGCTTAGATACCAATTGGCACTCATGTAAACTGGTAAGACTGTAAGAGACACGCGATGGAGCAGATACTAAGAGTATCCATCCCCCAGCTGTCATTTGAGTGGGTACTGCTGTTTTTATTGCAGATGTTATTGATCTTTTTGTATTAAAGATTAACTGGCATCACCGATTTAAGGATGCTGGAAACCAACAAGCTCGTCAGAAACCTATAGCTCAATAATCAAGTGGAATTTGATGCATGTGCGCAAAAATGTGCGCGTTACTACGTACAACCGAAGCACGCAGGAAAATGTGTGTGATGTACTAGTATTCAAAACGTTCGACTCAACTATGTTGGCATGACAGGTGCACATCTCGGTTTCGCATACGCATACCTTCTATCTCCACAAGGATATATTGATTTTGCCAAAGTCAATGCAGCACTGAAAGGTTGCGGTTCTTCCAAAAGAAAACACGTTACACATCTTTAGATACCAGTGGATGGTTTTACATGGCCTTGTTCGGAGTGAAAGACGAGGTCAAATATTCCAATCCAATTCAACTAATAAAATATTTCCCAAGTCCCTAAGCTTAAACTAGGAAAACGAAATCCGCGCGGCAACGCAAATGTAGTGTGAAGAGCGCAATAGAAAGTGGCTAGATGCTGTCGATGGATCTTGGCTTGTATTAGTGAAATAAACTACCATTTATTCTACTAAAATTGAATTTCTGACATTGTAAGGAGATTCAATGTTACTATGTATGCAAAACTAAACCATGTAGTTATGAAATAATTTCTTTTAACAAAAAGGCGCTGCTGAAGTATTCGTACCAAGATGGCGCACAATTTGAACATTGTATGTTTACCAGGTTAGGGTTCAGGATGTGCGTCATCTTGGACCGAATACTTTAAATCCACTAAAAAAAAATTGCTCAACATTATATACTCCACACTAACCTGGGTATCATTATATATGTCATATACATTATATCTAAACAATAAAAAAAACTTTATGTCCCAAAACAATGTTAAGGCCCGATTCTGCCGGACTTATGAGCTACGCCTCCGTATATGGGTTGTAGGTGGATTAGGGTTGCCAACTATAAGAAGTCTCAATAACGGACATAGATTACCGTCATCATTTATTTTGTAACTTGCAGGAAAGAACAATATAAAACAATGAAATACAAATTATATACAAGCTAAAAAGATATATTAAAAAATCGTCACGTGTTTTTCATTTAATGTTTACTTAACATTGGCCCAATCAAGCTCTAATTTTCCAGTTGCATAAGTTTATATTCTTAGAGTTATATTTGCTCTGACTCTTTGCTGACTTCAGCAATTGTGGGTCACGTTTTATTTTTCCCGAAAATTCACGACACGTGTCTTTCAAGTTAAAGTATATTAAAAGCTCACTTTTCATTAGTTGTTGTATTCATATTCAAATTGAGTTTGTCTTTTAGCTTCAAATGCTCTACAATTTTTACAAGTTTCTGATATTTTGGAGACAAATTATCCAAACAAGATAATTTTGATAATTTTCCAAATGTTGAATTTTCATCAAAGTCTAATCTTTTTCTAAATACGTTATTGCAGAGTTGCCTCTTGTGCTTCAGCAGCACTCACATTTGCAAGAAGTTGGTGAACATCATACCCAAAATATTCTTCATCAGATCGAGATTTTAAGCTATTTCTTAATTTAGTAAGAATAATGAAAACATCTGCTGTTGAAGTTTCATTTTTTTCAGTTCTTGAACAGCTAATTCAAATATCTCCATTACATGTTGTGAGAATATTAAATACATTTCAATAAGCTGAGGAACTTCTGTTGACTCATTGTCAATCCTAGGAAGTTTAAGTAATTGTTTGGAACATTCAGCTGGTCTGCTCAAGAATTAAGAACTTAAAGCTTTCCAAGAAAGTAAGATTCTTTCGATGCATGGGTGCAGAGATAGCCACCTAGTAGGTACATGACGCAGAATTTCATGAAATTCCGTCTCTACAAATATATGAAATTATATAAAAGTTTCTCGCCTTTTGCTGACATTGAGACATGACTGTAAATTTTCAAGACAATATTTTCAATGTCAACATTCAAATTTCCTAAAGCAAGTTCCAATGTATTGTGTACAAAGTGTACACTGCAGTCAGCCATAATAATACCATCATTTAGTGTGCGAACATTAGTATAAAGAAGATGTTTTTCTCCAAAGTTGCAATTTGCGTTATCTGCACTTAAACAAGAAACTCTTTTCCAATCAAGTTGTAAATTGTTCGTAGTGTTTTTCAAACAAGTAAACATTCCATCCGCACTTTCATCTGCATTCTCGAAGAAATCAATAATATAAGTAACTGTGCCATGTTCCAATCTAAAATACTGAACACAGACTGGAAACATTTCCATGTTTTTGTGATTTGAAGCATCAGTTTGAATGCCAAAAAATAACGAAATTTTCAGATATTGAACTAGAATTTACTCAAATCTTGGAGTGTTGCCACTTGCCATCTTCGGAAAATTAATGTAAAATATTTGAAATGTTAATAAAATTGGTATTTTTTTGGCTATTCGAGCCGGACCAAACGAAATTAAAAAGAATAATTAAAAGCTTCAAATAAACGGAGGCGATTTAAGAACGGAACAATATTAAACACAGTACTATAACTATCTATATTGGAAAAAATAAAGGACAGTTATCATCTCAAAAAAGGACAAAAATCTCAAATGAAGGATTGTCCTTTGAAATAAAGGACGGTTGGTAACCCTAAGGTGGATGTATATAAAAGCACAAACATCTCTGATCGGAGAAGTAAGTTTGAAACCAGACAAAACAAATAACCCTAAATTATGTTCCACGATTACGCCAAGTGCGTTCCGTAAAATGTCTGATTCAGCGTTACAATAAATCCGCTGGCAAACAATTATCGGAATTGATTCATTTTAATTTCTCATAATTATGGAGCCAATACTATAATGTAGGCATGTATTTGTGCTTGCATTTTATTGCCGAGGACGGGGCGTTGGGAAATTACCTAGCGACGCCACGGTATATGGGTTGTAGGTGGATGTATAGAAAAGCACAAACATCTCTGATCGGAGAAGTAAGTTTGAAACCAGACTAAACAAATAACCCTAAATTACGGTATGTTCTACGATTACCCCAAGTGCGATTCCGTAAAATGTCTAATTCAGCGTTACAATAAATTCGCTGGCAAACAATTATCGGAATTGACTCATTTTGATTTCTCATAATTATGGAGCCAATACTATATGTAGGCGTCTATTTGTGCTTGCATTTCATTGGCGAGGACGGGACGTAGGGGAAATTATTTACCTGCCCTGAGAGATAATGCACTAATGCAAATATTCACGCTAATTTCCACCAGATGGGTATATCTACTGATAGCAGGATGGGGTTTGTTGTTGTGGTAAGAGTGTGTGAGGTGTACTTCACCTTAAAACTCACCACTGTTCAAATTGTGTCTTTTCAAGTTAATGTATTTAATGTAAATTATATTCAATCGATTTTCATGGTACTAAAATGAATATTACTCGGCGTGGTTTCATCGCAGACGTAGTGATTTTTCTAGTGGTGAAATCTTTTAAAACAGAGCTAAGTCAGTGTTGCAAGAACAGATCATAAAATCGCAAAACACGAATAAAAATAATGTGGCAATTTACCTCACATTTTTATGTCCGCGTAATGCGGTGGTATTTCATGTAATAGAAGTAATGCTTATATTTCTTCAAAGCAACCGCGGGTTAAGTGGGAAACAATAAAGCAAGACATTTTAAATAGGCCAAGATCGAAAAAATTGGTATATCAAAACTTAGTATATTCCGGCAGTTTATCTCACTATTCAGCATCAATGATAAAATTCGGCATTGTTATCCTATGTATAGTCTCGAAATCGCGAGGTTTATGTTTTAATCTATAGTTTTAATATTTGTGATTTGGAAAAAAATTATAACAAAGTACAATAGATATAGCACTTTGTTGTTATCTAAATGTGTTATAAAATACAATAAAACGCGCAATTGACTTTGCTTAGTCCGGCCCGCCACTGGAACGATGGACGAAAACGGATAATGAAATAAGAATACGTGGTTTCTACCTAAATTTAATATTTCATCAAGCATTATTTTGTAGCCTTCAGTAATAATAAAATCTTATTCTACCCTTGCGTCTGATCGCCCAATAATGAACTTTTATTTTTATTTTATTATTTTAAAGAAATTTCAGTAATCATTTCATGAAACATTGAGACGATGGCTTTCATTGGAAGAAATATTCTTTTAAGGTAATGTAACCCGCGGTTAGACGTTTGACGCTATACACTAACTATAGAAAAGCTCATTATCCGCTAACCAAAGGATGTATTTATAAGTAGCGTTTTAATTTATTTTTAATATTGCTGAATACTGAATATCAGGAAAATCAGTTTCGAAATTAACAACACCACAGATGTTTCCGAAAATGTCGATTTTAATATATATTAGAACATTTATAATTTCCATAAAGAAAAAAAAGAATGCTTACAAGCCGAGACCGTTCAATAATGGTGATTAGTGGGTAACTACTTTGCGAATATCATAACAAGTGTCGAAATATCCCGAAAATTTGGTATGCTTGGGTTTCCAAGAAACAATATCGGGATTAAAGTAGACGTAAACAAAGTATTCAAAATTTTAGCCGATGAAATATTTTCTGCTAGCTTGAAAATTGCAACAAAAGTTTAATCAAATTATTCATAATTCCAATTTAATTCTATGGTCAAAAAGTATTTTGGCCATACTTATGTGTTAAGAAAATGGATGGGTAATGGATGGTTTTTTTTGTGTGTCAATATAATAAAATTCGATTAGATTCGGCTCGACAAAATTCTCCACATAAATTGTCCTATTTATAGGTGAAGCATATTGTATTGTAAGTTGCATGTTCCAAACTCAAGATAATATTTTTGCTGTTACTCGATATTTCGTATTTAAAAAACATTTTGTGTCACTAACAAATAGATCCTATTTTTTTTTCAACAGACAAAGCAAGACGATTATTCGAACGTTTTCCTCCTCCATGCAGCTGAAGTCCAGTTCTGCCGATACGAATTTTCAGACAGCAAAAGAACGGTTGAATACTCTTGGCATTCAACCTGAAAATAATACAAAACTGAAGATGTATGCATTATTCAAACAGGTAAAGTAAATTCCTATTTTAAAGCATTAAAAACACTGTGTGTACGTAGGACTCTAGAGACCTACGTTTAGAAAAGTCGAACCTCAACTATTCTTACGTAGTATTTTATACCTTTATTTATAATAGACAGACTCCATGCGACACAGCAAGCTTTGCGTATCTAAAGCTTCCTATATTAGAATAAATAAAATCTCTGGTATTTGATATTGTCTGCTTGAGATAGGCACCGACCACTGTAGCAAAACGCTCGCAATCCAAAGCCGTGCTCTTTAAAATGTATTACGACAATGTTTTATGTTTCAGGCCACTGTGGGAAAGAACAAAACGGATAAACCAGAAGCTTCAAATTTTGCTGGACAATATAAATGGTCAGCATGGACGGAACTGGGTGACATGACAAAGGTGTAGTCTTTAAAATTATCGTTACATACAATCTTACTAGTATGCCTTGACCTCTGCGCGATGGATTTTATGATAATCAAAGTCTCATTCATTTCATTCAAAATCCAGGATGAAGCAAAACAGGCCTATGTTGACCTCGTCACTGACCTGGAAAAAGCTGAAGTTGCCAATAAAAATTCAACAGATAGTAATTTCCAGCAAAAACTAGAAAGTAGTGCAAAAAGCTACGGATCTGATGGATTATTGGTCAATACAGAGAACAAGATAATGACTGTCACTTTGAACCGACCGAAAAGATACAACGCACTAACGTTTGATGTGAGTGGTATTTTAAACTCATCTCTGTCGTTTACAAGTTTGGAAATATATCATTATTTATTTTATTACAACATCCGCTTCGGTTAATTAATAGTGGATTTACATTTTGAGTAGACCGCCCTATCAATAAGAAACAAAAACGAATAAGATTTTTATTGTAAGGTTGGAACGCTCATTTTAATATATTTTTATCGCAAACATTTAGGTACAAAATACAATGCCACGCTTAACATCAGACTTTCTCCTAGTATGATATCATCCCAATGAACAATGATGTCATCTGAATTCGAGAATGTATACAATCACTGAACAGAATATATACAAACACGGGGTCTCGTGTAGTTTCGTACCCCAATGATTTCTAGTGGGCGTGGTGTTATATTTTTTGCATACCAGGTATGTAATTTTAATACAGGTATGTCATTCCTAACCTCCACCTGACTACGTCATCTGGAAAAATTCGTTCCAAGACGTCACAGTGACGTAACAATCCGACAAAATATACGAATGGTCGTCCAGAACGCGCAGACAGCGACCCGAAGTCGAGCAAGCTGTCTCTCTCGTAGGTGTGGGTTAGGAATAACATATGCAAAAAATGTTACGAAACTACACTAGACTCCAAACATGGACACAGTCAGCACTTATTATAGAAGTGTACATGATGCATATGAATATACACTACGTAATAATAATTAAGGATGCCAAGTATGAGTACTTACAAGTATTCGATTCTTATCCGATTCCTAAATTTTCGATTCCGATTCTCGATTCCGAATCTCGATTCCTCGACATATCTTACCGAAAACACATACTCACTTAAGCAGTACCATATGAAATCAAACAAGAGCACGATGTTCAAATTCTGGACTGCCGAGAAGGCCGAAACTAAGTGGTATGGGTATCCAATCTGTCACAGGAGACAAAATCGCACAAAAAAAACGAATCCCTCAGAACCCACAGAGATATTTAAAATAAATAAACGTTAAAGCCTTCTATCGAAATATTATATATAGTGAAGTTTGCGTTGTCGTAGCAACTCAACATAGCAGTGAAGCAGTTTATACATATATGTGAAGAAATTGCCACAAAACTTTACACGTTCTTTTCAATCCAAGTTTTAACCTCGAGAATCGATTCCAATGCATCGGAATCGATTCTAGTCGATTCCGCAAAGAATCGATTCTGTAATCGAATCCGGACTCGATTCCGCCATCCCTAATAATAATACGTCCAACGTGACGTAAATTGTTAGTAGCCTACTCCATAATACCACATCCTGGCTTGACTAAAAATTCTAATTAAACTTTCATTTATTTAAGATGTACGAGGGAATAATTAAAATACTCGCAGATGCAGCGAACGATGATTCTGTATCTATTGTAACGTTTACTGGTACTGGGAAATACTTCTGCAGTGGCAATGATTTGAAGAATTTTTCTGGAATAACACCGGCTAATCTAAAACAAAAATGTCTGGATACTGCAGCCATGCTACAGTGGGTGATCAATTGTATTCACTCTTGCTGTTTTTAATAGTGATGTTTCATACTTCGTTTAGTTTTAGAGCTAGATTGTCTTTCAGTAGTCAATTAAGGAATTGGTTGAGTCTGAAAATGCCGTGCCAAAATCTGCTCTCTTATAATATAGAGAACCCTATCAAACGAAGTAGGATGTGTCCCGAATATTGACTAACCAATAGCGAGAAACTTGCAATCTTCTTACTTTTTTGTGTCCTTGCGACATTCTTAATTCTGCAACAAACTGTCGGTTACGACTGAGCCGCGGTTTCAGGTGATATTTTGTCATTACCCAGACGGTATGCAGCTGCTTTTATTGACTTCCCGAAACCTCTGATTGCTGCAGTGAATGGACCAGCCATCGGAATCTCAGTAACCCAATTAGGACTATTTGATGCAGTCTATGCAAGTGATGAAGCTACTTTACAAACTCCATTTACTAAGATTGGACAAAGTCCGGAACTCTGCTCGACATATATATTTCCGAAAATCATGGGCCATTCGAAGGTATTGGAATATATAAAAATATATATTGTATACTTATTTGTCCCGATTTTTGGATGAGAGGTTTGAATGAGACCCAGAGGTTCATTGCGTTTCGCAATCCCCAATAATAATATATATATTAAATCTAATTTGTATGGCATCGCAAATTGATGAACCAACAAGTTTAAAAAAGTACTACGCACTTTTTCAAAGTCTCTATATTTTCAATTATATATATGGCTCAGTTTTCTAAATGATTCATGGTCATGTTTCTTCAACACGTCAATTTCAAATACATTTTGAAAACTAAAATCCAGGATACGCAACTTTTAGGGAGGCTTTTCATAGTTAAAGGTTCGAGGCATTCGGTAACATATCTTTTTCTAGGCCTGCTCAATGCTACTCTTCAATGAAACATGTACCGCTCTTGAAGCAGAACGCTTGAATCTAGTAACTAAAGTTTTTCCCAACGCCAGCTTCCGGAATGATGTAAGAAAAGAGGTTGAAAGAATAAGTCAGTTCCCAATGAAAGTAAGTAAACCCACATATACATGACAATATAACAGATCTATGTAATGCGTTTAAATTAAAGCATTGCTACTGTAGATAGATATATTGGACACGACCCGTTTATACTATGTATACCCGTTTATATTATGTAGCATACTTAATATCTAACAATATTTCAATTTTTTCCTATTCAGTCATTGATTTACTCGAAGCAGCTCACCAGAGGATGTGAAAGAGAAATGCTTCACAAGGTGAACAAGGCCGAATGCGAGAGAATCGCCGAAAGATGGTCATCAGACGATTGTATGAAAGCTGTAATGGGATTCTTAGCCAAGTCTTGATCAAACATGCAATAAAATTATACTGTTTTCTGTTATTTACCTTACTTTCCCCCCTCATCTTTCTGTTTTTCAATGAATTGTATACAATTTGAACTGTATGTAATGTTATCATTTCAAAAAAAATGTTATTTTTATGAAGCATTACTTGATTTCTACAATATACCCAGTGGTGGAATTCAAATTTTTTGTCCGCCGGTTCCATCATACAAATGTCGAATTTTCAGGCGGTTCTGTTACAAAAAGTCATGTAATGCTAACCGGTTCGCTGATCTCATAAAATTCCGTGAGACGGTTCTATAGAACCGGCTGAATCCCACTACTGAATATAACCTAATTTACTAAGTACCCTTTTTGACACGTTCACTAATGTGTATTTGCATCATAGATTGGTTTTCACACGGACTAATTTGTGATAATAATGTCAGAACTGTTTTCCCGTACTTGCTTTTAGCTGTGTGAGTGTTTGTTATTCATTCTTGTGTTTTGAAGTGTCTAGCGTTATGTCTTTAAACTGTATAACGTCTCTGACTACTGGTCATTTGGTAATACCCAAGACATTCACGGACCCGAACTGTCAAAAATCGCTGTTGCTCGAGGCAGTGCACCTATTTGTTTTAAAAGCATACTTTTTGCAATCGCAATGTATTTCTAGAAATTGGTAATTCAAGTTTATATGCTCTCGGGGAAGATTTGTGGAGAAGTGATTGACCATAGGCTGATTCAAGTTTATCTGTTCTGCAAAATTTATAATATAAAATCACCAATATTCAGAATATAATATCATGTGACAATTTAATTCACTATCAATCCAATGAAATACTGTACAAAAATCAAAAAATATTTTCTATTGACTTAACATATTTTTTCACAAAGTTTATAATCATTGTAAGTTTCTAAATTTCATAATGGAATTGTATAATATGATTTAAATTGGAGGCTGAGTAAAACGTAAGTTGGTTAATAAAAAGTAAAAATTATCGCGACTCCAGAGCTTTTGTTTTGAAGATAACGAACAAGTGTTTTACTATAATTTCCTGCAAAGACAATCTCATAGCAGGCGGTGATTCAATACTGTTTCTTGGTAACAGTCTGCGTGTGCGTTTACATTCAACTTCAGTAATGTAGAATATACATTGTAAGCTTGCTATTTGTTTAAAAATGGTTTAACAGCTATTGCGGGCCAAAGACATTCAAATTGTATGGTAGAATAAGATTAACCCTTGTGACTACATATATGCTGCATAACACGAACAATAAAAAGATGTATATATATATATTTATAAATACACATGTAGTAAAATTTATCTTTGGTAATTAAAACTCTACATTAAGAAATCCGACTCACAAATCGGATAATCCCGCAAAATTAGTGCGATTGTATAAAGTAAAGTGTAGCTATTTTCATTGTGCTTTTTCCGTAATGTGTATATATAAATCTCTATCAATTTATATGGAGGAAAAGCTTTTTTCAAAAGAAATAACATTTTATTGATATAATATTCAAATCGAACATGGGATACATAGAATACATTTCCGTATTGTGTATAAATCTCTAGCAATTTATATGATGGAAAAGCTTTTTTCAAATGAAATAATATTTTTAGCGATATAAAATCAAAATCGAACAAGGGATACATAGAATACTGTACATAGAACGTTTCTAAGATACCAGATAAAACAGTTCAATCCTCCACCCCCACAAAAAGACAAGCCGTGTATTTTGAAATAAATGGAAAGAATACTGTACATATGAGTCAGAATATACACACAAACGTACAGTTAGAACAACAATAGAAGTCATTAATGTGTTTATTCTCAGCAGCTATGCAATTGAATTAGCAGATATCACATTTGTCTCGCTTATGCGGGTCCTTGACGTCGCATCTGTGCTTAGTTCGGTGGGTTGTTCTTCGTTCGAATTCACACGCCATGGCATGAGTCTTATTTTCCAATCCGGAAACGAAAATATGATCAACATTGTGTTAACAACAATGTTGACGTCATAAATGAATGTTGACATAGTCACAATTTCTCTATTCAAAATCAAAATTATTAGCGCGAACGCTATGTCCGTCGTTACACATATAGCAGATGTGATCGTTGCCCTCTGTATGAGGAGTATGATCGGGTTATTTTTATTATTTCCACAAGTAGAACCGGAACGTACGCTCATGTTGTGTTTTACAAGTGGATAAACAAAGAGAGTGAGAAGACATATCTGAAAAAATGTGGTGCATCCTATCAGGATAATCCATCGTATCGACGTGACCTCGCTTTTCTTGACGACGCATCCGTTCGGTGCGCCTACGTAACGCCCAACTGAAAAGAATAGAATTGCTGTTGATACCGTTCCAGTAACGATAAGAATACACATTGTCCAGCTTATAACCCTGACAAGTTTAGAGCTGAGATGCTTCAATCTTGGATGCTGGTAGAAGGTTCGTTGACGGAGCCATAATACAAGATATACCGCCACGAGCGAAAAAGCATAAGCCGCTAACTTGAATTTAATGGACAAGTCACATCCGAGATCAGTATTGTTGCCAAAAACAAGGCGAAAATCGAAACCTGCACGCAAAAATGCGCAAATAGCTCCAATAGCACACATAGTATTGAGAATGAAGGCGTGCCTATCTTTAACATTTGCTTTGCGACTGTGACTATTTGATCCTGTGCTGCTTAATCGTCGTTTCTCCGAGCTCCTTTTTGTCATTCCCGACTTAAGAACACAGTATGCAACTTGTGTGATGGCCACATATAAAGAGAATAGTCCCAAAGGTGCACTCAGTCCTGCACATATCAGCCATTCCAATCCATAGTTGAATGTGTCATTTGAAGAGAGTACATCTGAAAATTGTGTAACATTCACAAAGGCAGTAAATGCCGTGGATGACATATTTTTCGACTTTATATAGTGCGCTAATTGAATATAAGTATGAAAACAAATGAAGAGACTTTAAGTTTGACAATGGGATGTAAGAACGGTAGGGTGCTTCTGAAGTGGGTGCACCAAGTAACAATTTCTCTATATCCTAATGTGTACATGCTTCACATGCGACTCTACTAAAATCCGAATGTATATAATCTGTATTCTCACTAAACTTTGATGCTTTTCAATGAAAATGCATTCGTTTAATTTTTTATATCATTGACTCGGTATGGGATTCCAAAATTTTTTTTCTTTGCAATTTAAGAATTTTAATAATTTTGAGGAGCGGTAATGTTAGTATTTATAAGTCAACGTCATGATGCAAGAAATTTATACGTGTAAAACTCATTCAAATGTATTAATATATATGTACGTTTTTTTTACACTTTCTTTACTTACTAATTTCTGTAAATATTCTAATCGGATGCCACACATCTCATGGAACCCTCACTGCTAAATGTAAGATTTAGTTGGATAATATATAAATATTGTTCCTATTTGCAGTGGAAAGATCATATTTTTTCGCCATGATAGAAAGCATTGCGTCATAAAAACGATCACTTCACTAAAGAAATCTTTTGGATTGCATTTGCGAATTACAAAATTCATAACATATATAAATGATCTTTACATTCCTTGGTAAAAATTTTCAACGAATGATTATTGTAGATTAGTTTTATTATCAGTTTAAAAAAGATTAGTTAAGAATCACTTTGATTTCCAATATAAATCGCGATTTAAAATAGGACTATACCCAACATTTCTGCCATGGTCTAATAAATTAGGTAAGCGATGCCGAATTAGAAATATTCCTGTCCTTCCAAAATATAGAAGATCATTACCTGAATGCTTCATCTCTAATAGTAGATCTCATCACAGAGGTTGTGGCGTTGGTCTCTACATTCGAAACGATTTGAAATACATCGTCCGCAAGGATCTTACTATATAAGGTTTTTGAGTCTATATTTATTGACATATCTTTAGAAAATAAAACAATAACTTGCGGTATTATCTACAGATCATCATTAACTGATAAATTGAACAAAGCTAATTTAATAAAAATTGTGTCCCAAGTCCTTTCATATGTTGAACTATAATATTGTAATGGGTGACTTCGACTATAATCTTCTAGTCTAGTGTATCTAATATTAATACCAGCTCATTCATATTATGCAAAGCTTGACCTATAATTCTCTGATAAACTGTCCTACCAGAACATCCCTAAGCTCTGCTACTAGTAGCGAAAGAATCTTCTTCCTTTGTTCAGCATTCCTTATAAAATGTTAATGAATATACTTACCTTCCGACCTGATGTAAACAAACCATGAGATAACCAAACCGAACTAATATTTTGACGTCATTGAATTAGTAAAAAATAACTGAATTGAGCTTTTAACTCAATTTAATGTTCTTATTTCAGACGTCGTCCAACTCAATTAGGTCATTTCTTTGCCTCGAATAATATTATCTGCTCCCGAGTAACGAATGTTAGGTCGAACGAATCAAGTGTAGACATACTGATATTGCATATAATTTGTTCTAGTGTTTATATATTTCGCATGTTCTTTTTCTATGCTGTAGTATTACCAAGCTACAACTAGGCTTGGCGTGTAGATACGTACATATATAAATACGTGTGCGTGGATCGAAACCTTGAATTGGAAAATGAGTCCCACGGCATGTAGACATACTGATATCGCATATATTTTGTTATAGTGTTTATATTTTCTATGTTTCCTACTATGCTGTAGTATCACCAAGCTACAACTAGGCTTGGCGTGTATGTACGCATATATATACATTGTATATCTATGTGTGCGGGGATCAAAACTCGAACTGAAAAACGACTTATACGTGTGCGAAAATCACATGAGATTTCGAAATATACTACAAACGGTGGAATGGGATAACTCGCTAGTATATAAGTCCAAAAGTCACAATACCCGCCCAAATAGTTCGGAAATATAATTCGGATCATATACATAACCAAAACTCATGCAGTAGTAATAGTAAAAATTATCTGAATCTTGACATAACCGTTGACATTAGGAATATATGCAATAACCCTACGCAAAAGTATACCCCAAATACTCACCTAACCCGAGTCCACCCATGTGATTCAATTGTAATAGCCATATTCGGTTCATATATAACCTCAAAATTCACGAAATGTTGGCAACTATCTAGATATGCCCATATACGCCGAAAACAATAACTCGGTTCAACTGATACACAAGTAAATGAAAAGACCCTCACCCATATAAGCCCGATTGATGTCTGATACTACTAACGATGATTTAAACGACTTGTATCCATGATTTCATCTTGTCTAAAAAGACACACATTCTGTACGAAGTACCGTGAACACGAACACACCACTGATACACGAAAAGCACAGGCCAATCCAGTCGAAAAGACTTCCGCTATGTGTAATGCTATAGATGTAGTTATAACTCTTGTGCCAAGACTTGCAACCAGACTTCAGAACATGCACACAAGACAAGTAATTTTTATTGCAACCTTTCTTGAAAGGTGTCGATGATTTCAGCAGCATCCAGGATCCCAACACATGCTTTAAAAAATATTTTGATGAGTTTTCTGCGGCTCACTGTCTATCTTTTCCATACAAAAAACAAACAAAGATTGGTATGATACTAAGTTGCGCAAACTCAACAATGTCGAACAAAAGCTATATAAGCAACTAATAAACAATAAAAACACAGATGACAAGCATGATTCACAGTATAATGAATGAATAATGAAATTTTGTCACGTTCACTGTTGTGTATATGAGTCATAGATTGCTTTTTCACGTGGACTAATTTGTGATTATGTTGTTATAATTGTTTTCTCGTACTTGCTCCTTGCTTTTACCTGCGTGTGTGTTTGTTATTCATTCTTGTGTGTTCAAATGTCTCTCTCTATATTTGAAAATCTCGTAATTCTCTACTTTGTAATTTTGTTGATGAATGTAAATAAAAGACATCCTCCAAAAATAAGCCCTAGTGTTCTTTTTTGGAAGAAAATTGAAATAAGGTCCTGTCTTATTTTCAGGAAAACACGGTATTTGTTTTAAAAGCCGACTTATTGCAATTGCAATAGATTTTTAGAAATAGATATTTCCAGTGAATAACTTCTCCTCGGGGAAATTTGGTGGCGAAGTGATTGGCCATAGGCTAGTGAGTTTCCAGATCATCTGTACCGCGAGGTTTATAATGTAAAATCATCAATATTCAGAAAATACCACTATGTAACAAATTTATTCTCTATTAATCCGATGAAATAATGTAGAAAAATGCGCATATCATATTCTCTGTCTAAATATCGGGTTGGGTTCAGTTCGAAAAATAGAAAGGAATAGACGCTAACGATACAAATGATCCGAATTTAGATTTTTTATGTACAGCAAATAGAATAATGAAATAGTCTGCCGTTTTCAAGCATTGAGATTTACTTATTCGCCCAAGCAAGCTTTTCTGTAGATAACGCCTTCAACAAGAAGTTGTTCAATATTACATTTACGTGAACGTCCGAACAGGGCCAATTAGAATTGATTTTACATGTGATACGTTCGCTAACACTGTTAGCGGGAAACAACGAAACAAACAAAATAACGCATTCACCTTCAGTAAGTAGGCTAGCGTTGCGCTACACAGCAACAACAATAACGAGAACATGTTCGTTTATTATGCTGGAACTTGGCTCATCGTGCTAAGCCCAGGAATACGTCGCAACCGCACCTCTGATTACTCTTCGTAGGGTCGAATCCCATGCGGGGATGGTTATGTGCGAGAGGATTGCTGGACTCCTCGTCGCCGTAAAGTGGTTCACGTAACCGCCGGTCGGTTACGGCCATCTCCACCATTAAATCCATGATTCCGAAAATAAATAAATAACTTATACTATACCCGACATAGAATGGTAACCGGACGAAAAGCCGGGTTCGACATACGGTTTGTTAAGCCGTCTTATTGGCCTTTCTCTCCTCCAGGATGAATATGTAAATCCTATCCTGTGATCCTAGCTGAGCGCGCATGTCAACATGGTGGAAGGTGAGCGTCTATTTGAAAGTATATTATAACAATACAATTATAACGTGACAATAACCCTTTTTACACGACGAGGCAAATGCAATTTAGTAATATTATCAGTCAAATAAAGGATAGTGGCCACTCACAAGCTTGCCCGTTGCATGAATGGCTAGAGCTTATTTTGTAAAATTTAAAAAAAACTCTGCGGCACACCTGAGAATCTTTGCGGCACACAGTTTGAGAAACACTGCCCTAGCGGAAACTCTGAGCAAAGATGTTTCACCCGAAGTTGTACGTTTTACTTTGACGGAACATCTCGAACATTACTATCGAAACTATTTGATAATTTCCACAGACGGATCTAAAAATGAAAATGGCTGTGAATCCGCCTTTTTGTGCCATCGAGATCAGTCGAACACAGCGCTACCCTTACCTCAACCGTAAGTCTGTTAGTCGTTGCCTCAACTGAGCTCATGATATAGTGCAGAACTAAATGCAATCCTACAATCGCTGATATGGGATAACGATCAAAGCAATGCATACAAAACCGTTATTTTATCAGATTGCCAAAGTGCATTACAATCTATTGTAGCTTGCACGGATTCCTCCAATGAATTTATCATTGAAATCAAAACGAGTCACTTTATTATGTATTTCCGGGCATAAGGACATTCCGGGAAATGAACTTGTGGACATACTAGCAAAGCGATAACTCTGCTGCATGTATAGAACTTGAAGAAAATGAAGCTAAATCTTTGTTGTCGGATGTTTGTCATCGCGAATGGAACATCGAATATATACAAAGTGAAGATACAAACTATTTTAAGATGTTTTACCCAGAACTACCCATAATTCAATATCCAAACTTACATAGGAAGTACGAAATAATGCTGTTTCGTTTACAGACGGGACATTGTCGATTGAATAGCCATTTACAAAAAATTGGATGTCATCAAGACGGACTATGCTCTTTTTGCCACGTAAAAGAAACTGTTGCCCATTTAATTCTGTTATGCAGACGTTTCAATAATTAACGATCCAATTCACTAAAATTATGTGCCGATTATGATGTACCGTTTCGGCTTCAATATTTACAAACAGATAGTAGAATTTTATTTCATGTGCTAAAGTTTGTCGAATCTACTGCTAGACCCATTTGATAGCAACAAAGAAATTCTTTTAAATAATTTTCCCCTAGATAAATAGCCTATCACACCCTGGTTCAAAAAGTTTCAATTGATCTGTAAGCACCATACGACTCCTATCACATACACACACCGTCAAAACTACCGTGCTTATCCGAGAATAAAAACGTACCGGTACCCTGGAAATAAGACATAGCCTGAATTATGAAAAGAAATTTCTCCTACACGTTTTAAAGGATTGATAATCTATGTTTCGCAGTTATTTTGACTAAAAACGTGTCGTGGATATCGGTTTTCATATTTTGTATATTTGAAAATCTCGTAATTATCTACTTTGTAATTTTGTTTTTGATAAATGAAAATATAAGACATACCCCAAAAATAGGCCCTTGTGTTAGTCTTATTTTCGGGGAAACATGATATGGTCTAGTACATACTTTTTCCACACATCACGCGACTGCCAAGTGTATCGGGTAGTTATAAAATGGCTATGTCCGCTATGTCTCTACTAAAATGGCTATGTCCCTACTAAAATGGCTATGTTCATTCTAAAATCGCAATCCCGATATGTCCCTACTAAAATGGCGATGTCCACTATGTCCCTACTAAAATGGCTATGTCCCATCTAAAATCGCGAATCCAATATTCTCCTACTAAAATGACTATGTCCCTACTAAAATGGCTATGTCACTACTAAAATGGCGGTGTCTCCAAAATGTCGTATCTCACTTGTACTACTTGTCACACGTGTACCCTTGTACCACGTGTCCCACTTGTACAACGTGTCACACTTGTACCATGTGTCACACTTGTATCACGTGTCCTACTTGTACTACATGTCACACTTAACCCACGTGTCCCACCAATTGTCCCAAGTATAGGGTCCCACGTGTACCACTTGCCCCACGTGTCACACTTGTACCACGTGTCCCATTTGTAGCATGTGTACCCCTTAACTCACATGTAGAACTTGTACCACGTGTCCCAAGTGTACCACATGTCCCACCACTTGTCCCAAGTGTACCATGAACAAGTGGACCACTTTCCCCACGTGTAACACTTGCCCCACGGGTCACAATTGTTCCATGTGTCACACCTGTCCCACGTGTCACACTTGTACCACGTGTCCCACGTGTCACACTTGTCACAATAAAAATTTATGAGAAATGTTCCCTAATTTAAATTTTTTTAATTGGGATACATACATTACTGCTTTTATCGCCGATATTGGTTCCGATCCGATATCGACACGGCTATATTCCGGCACTGATAACCCATGTCATAACATGTTCCGCCGCAACACTTTTTTAAACAAATTATGGTAGTTTCTGCAAACGTGTTGTTGCTAACAAGCGCAAGTATTGTGGATTGTGACTTCCACCACAAATAAATGAAATGTAGTGTTTAATAATCGTCATACACAGTGCTGTGCAAGTTTAAAAAAAGACGAGCTATATTTTAAACTGCGCGTGATTAGATAGAGCAAGTTAGGTTAGATCGATCCAGTATTACAGTTTATCGAATAGAATTCGGAAAGCAGAAGGAAACAGTGTTTCATATGCATTCCGTCCAGGAGTTTTGTCCACATATATCTCATTCGCCGAATATTTTGCCCATATGATTCCGTTTATCATACATTTCATTCAGTAGATATATATTTCGTTTCCCTCATACAACAGTCGCCGTGATTATTCGCTCGTTAAAAAAACGACTTTTTCAGTGAGACTTTTCTGTGGCGTATAATATTCAATCCGTGGTAATAAACTTGATCGTGTCTAACGTAACTCGCGCGACGACTTTTAAATACTGTACATTGCTACTCTAAAAAAACAAATGTAATATGTGGACATAAACACACGAGATACACTGTCTAATTATATTTAATTTTGATAGATATCTTTCCAATCTTGTTAATTCGTTATCGCCAGTAGAGAAATCTATAACACCGATCCGTTCGATCGCAATGCTGCCACTCAGATTAATTTTAAGGTATAACCGTTTTCAGTGGCGGCGCGTCAATAGGGCCAACCGGGGCAA